GTTTGAAAAAGTAAGTATTCGGCTCGGTCAAGTCAAGTAACAAGTTAATATATTACATTACTTGCAAGTCCGGGCCAAGTATCAAGTCAGTAAAAAAAAACACTACTCGGCTTGATACTCGTTTAGAGAACTTGGCTTGATACTCGTTGTATATTACTTGATTGATATTTCTACTATGATGTGGAATATTGAACCGAAAAATTATTTCCTAAATGCATATCTTTTGGAATTTTAATGTTTTGTGATTTTAGTATGTTTGAACTTTGAATGTTTTGTAATTTGTATTGAGATTTTTATATATTTAAGAACTTTGAATGTTTTGTAATGGTTAAGTAGCAAGTACCAAGCCGAGTCAAAGTACTTGCAAGTCAGAGGATTTTGGACAAGTACTTGATATAGCAAGTACTTGCTTTGAACGAGTCAAGTATCAAGCCGAAATTTCTGTGATCCGAACAAGCCAAGCCGGGCCATAAGTACTTAAAAATTAGCAAGTATTCGGCTTGTGCCCACCCCTAGTATGTAGTGTTTGCATGCGTTATCATTTAGGCTATAATACAAAAATTTTAGGATGGAATTAATATAAACTAATTTATAAGAATATGATTCATAAAACGACAAAATAAGTATCTTAGGCTGCCCTCCTGGCTCCTACCGATACATAATTAATAGTATATGATAAAGAAATGAATATTAGGTGTGTGATTAACAAAAAAATATAGTATAAAGTAGAGAGTAATTAGTGGAATTTGCTTTATAATAATCAAAACCAATTTGTTTGATGAAAAGTAAGTGGAAGAGAATCTAATACGAGAACCAATGTGTTTCGACATAGGAGACAATATCGTTGTCTCGTGCCAGCTTCTAGATCTCTTATTGTAAACAATGAACCTAATGATACAGAGAACTCCATCAAACTTGTAGATCAAGCCTGTTCTTGAGCTTATTGTAATCAAGTTGCTAATTACATGGGCTCTTATTATTTAATTTGTTTCTGTTTTCAGTGTTTCTTTTTATTTATGTTAATAATTAGTGGCCTGGTTGCGCCACAAATGTTGTCCCTTATTGAGATCATCCCATGTGACAAACTCGACGATTAATACAGTACGTATATATAATTAGTGGTTAAAGATTTGTCTAGGTTAAAAAAAAAATTGTCTACAAGCTATTGTACGGAGACATGTGAATTACTTGATTGGAGACTTTGGAGTTGTGTTATATGTAGCTTTATAAAAAAAGATCCGTATATTGAGGAATATTGAAATTAACTCCAAATCTAAGTTGATATACAATTTCGACTACTTAACATAGTTTTCGATCATATCAATTTTGCGAAGTCATCTCTTAAAAAGAAGTAATTTATTTAGTTTAACATATAATATGTTCAACTCGTTTGACGACGAACATATATTAAATTTTGAATCCGTGTGATTTCATAATCAATTATTAACACTTTGTTTCACGTTTTTCTATAGTAGATTAGCGTGAATTAGTATAAAAATGTATTATATACGTGTACATACATATCTGTGATGTTATCTGTGACGTGGTCGTGGTGTAAATTGGCAAGACTTTTGGTATATGAATATATATAATTAAACCCAACTTATTATTATTATTAGACTGCCGGCTTATAGTTTTGTTGAAAATTCAAAACAGAACTGATTACATACTTAACATAAATGTCTTGATTATGTTTCAAAAAAAAACATAAATGTCTTGATTACATTACTATAATAGTATAACTGTTTGCTTGTGACCCAAAAAAAAAATGTATAATTGTTTGCATTATTAATTTGCTAATGCAAATACATAGAGGAAAAGTCTTCCTTTAAATGTTGACGACCGAGAACTTGAAGAAAGAAGAGCAATAATAGGGAAGACTTGACTGAGCAGATTCGGTAGGATGGGGCCCACAAGAATCGGACGATGTAGAAACGATGTTTATATTTTTGACATTGTACTACTCAATCACTGCTCTTCTCAGTCGTACGTGTCGCGATTTGCCAAGTATTTGGGCACACGTGTGCTTCGCATGTGAATCTCTATTGTGTTTCTAGCTATAAGCGAATAATGTATATACAATATATTGAAAGTTAAAAACAAATAAAATAACCAATCAAACATTCAATAGAAGAGAAGTTCAATCTAAAATTTAGACTAATCTTACGAAACTTTGTATATTAAACATTCGTACAATTATATATAAGTTTGATCATTGTTATCATCAATTTGAACATCAACCCACAGGGAAAAAAACAACTCAAACAAGGTGATTTTAACAAAAAGAAACCAACAAGTTGTTTTGTTCGGATACATGAAGCAATGAATTAGTCAATTACAACCTATTGTTTATGCGTATTTTACAATACCTTTAGCCGTTCAACCACTACATTATTTTATACAAATATATAATTCAATGCAAATGAATGTAATCAACTGAATAGTCCCTATAATAATCAAAAGAATACTAATCTTATTTTCTCAAAAAATGGTAACCTATCAACATATACTACCGCATTATGGTCACTAATTCCTTTGTATACACTTTTATAACTTTAACTAATCATCGTTGTTAAACCTTTTGCAAATTATGTACGATTGATCTTAACAATATACTAGATGTTTCGTAAATTTAAGAAATTATAAGAAAGCAAACCAAACAACGGTCCAATGGAAGCAATGGCAGGGGACGTAAATAACCGGACTAAGAAAAGTGTATGGGACTCACAATCCCGTGGCCTAGGAAATATGGGCCCACAGGATTTATGCAGTTGAGAAAATAAATAGTGACATAATTTCCTTTTTTAAAATTATTGGAAAAAGACATGAGAGGGAGAGAAAGAATCTGGAAATATTAAAAGAGAATAAAAATATAATTGTTTATAAAAAAAAAAATTAAAGGACGGAGAGTGACGTAATTCCATATATATTTTGTTATGAGACTTATTGAAAATGAGACATCTTTTATAAAAACATATGAGAACATAAGATGGCACAACAAGTATATACTTTTTTTATTTCAAAATATAAATTGTTTTACTTAAAATCACGTATATTAAAAAATTATTTTTTTATTAAAAAGTATCATTTAATATATCTAATAAAAATAATTTGACAAATTATATAAAAGACTGCAAAATATTAGTGATCACATAATATTCAATAAAGTTAAAAAGTACCTAATATTATCAAAATAATTTATATTTTAAAACAAAAAAATAGTTAAAATAATTTATATTTTGGAACGGAGGAAGTATAACTTTTTGCAGGTTACTAATGTATAAAGCTAATTATTTAACACCGAATGATAAAACTATTTTTTTTTGGCGTTATAAAACTATAAAATTGATGATTGAAGTTTGGAGT